TATGGCTGGAATCTTTGCACTCTTTAAGACCCAGAGCAGCCCTCACCTCCCTCCCCATCCTCTAGAGCACTCCTGGCCCCAGACCTTCCGTATCCCTGTTGACTGCCATCTTGGACTGTGCTACATCTGGCTTGTTTATGTTGCCCACCAGGTCTGTGAGGGCAGAGACTAGGTCTCAGTTACTGACTCAGTGGCGGAGGATGTGTGAAAAAAGTAGATTCCCAGGACACTTGTGCTTGGTCGTGTTGGGGGAGGGCAAGCCTGGAAGGGAGCTGACATGAGGCCACAGGGCAGGAGGAAAGGGGAAGGTCAGATTCCTTTCTCCAGGGGATGGAGGCTGGTGGCTGCTGAGGGGTCTGACCTGTGACCAAGTGCAGATGGCTGGTTGTTTGGTCCCTGTGGGCAGGCACATCCTGCAGCTTTGGCAGGGAACTCCAAGCCCGATCACACACTCCCATTTCCTTTCTTCACCTGAGAGTCATTTCTCCCACTTTGTGCTCTACAACTTTCCTCCCTTCCTGACAGATTTCTCTACTGAATTTGACTTTGTTTCAACCCTTTTGTTGGGCAAATTACATTAAGATAGATGTTGCAGGTACCTTTTATGGTTTATTTATCATGATACTGTTTGTATCTCACGCTTATAAATAACTTATGTTATAGCTTTTGTTTGTGGAAATGTAACTTACATATTTTATTATGCTTTCTGTAAACCTCAAAAAGAATCTTGTCAAGGAAGCGCTCTTATCAGCAATCCAAACTATGGGATGTAAAAACCGACACTAACATTATTTTTTAATATGCCAAGGAGGCAGGTTACTCTTGCTGTAGTTGGAAAGGTTTGCTGTCATCGTAAACTTGCACCTCAATAAAACATTAAAAAGTCTCAAGAATGATTTTATAAAGTTCAGCAGGAGGATGAATCAGTGGTGAAGCCCACAGACACAACAGTGTCCAGGCAGACTGCCTTTTCTTTGGAAGCATCTAGTCTCGTGCCTTTGGAAGCCCAAAGGGTACCAGGCCCACATTTCTTAAGTCAGCTTGAAGTAGGTTAAGTAGGAAAAAGTAAAAGTGGAGTCAGGAGGCTATGATTTTGATGCAGGGCTTGTCCTTCCCTGAACGGAAGCCCTGAGATCTGAAAGGTGCCAGCTGAGGATGGAAAAAGGCCCCAGGAGGTGGGTACTGCTTGAGACCCCATCACGAGACATGAGGCTTCAAGCACAATTGGCATAGGGAAATGTGGTCGTTGCACGACAGCATGCTGATGGGGAGGGCTAGAACTTGGGCTGTCTCTTGACTTTGTGAACTATGAATCCCACTTTCCCTTCACCTTTCACCCCCATTTTTACTCTGGAACTAGGTAGGGAGGCTCTAGCCAATAGATGGGCTTTGGGCCAATCTTTTGTCTGTTTTCTCATCTCTAAAATGGGGAAAATAATACTCGACATTCTTTTTTTGAGACAGGGTCTTACTCTGTGTCCCTGGCTGGTCTGGAACTCACTATGCAGATCAGGCCGGCCTTGAACTCAGAGATCTGCCTACTTCTGCACCAGGAGAGTATTGCCCAGCAATACTTAATATTCTTATTGGCGAGCAAGGTCTAGCAGTTCAACATATTATAGTGGTTCTGATAGCTGCACCTAAAGCTTCCTGCCTTTCTTCTCTAGCCCTCTGTTCTAGCTGACTGTGGTGCTGAGGTGGAACCCAGGGCCTTGTTTGTGCACTACGGGAGCCCCACCGTCAGCCCCACCCTTCTTTGCAGTGGCTCTATTCTGGGCTCATCACAAGGAATGGACTGCTCTCAAATGCTGCTTCCTCCCATGTGCCAGGCTGGCTGCATCTAGATAAGGCAGCACAGCAGGTCTCACTTTTCCAATTTCCCTCACCCTGCTCTCATGCTCAGTTTTGGCGGCACTAAGCTAATTTGGTCACTAATATTCGCAAACAGCTATAAGCCAGTCCAGTTTTGCACTTTGAAGGAGCCCCCACTACCATAACCCAAGGTATGCATGTAGGTTGTCCAGTCCATGGAAGGGGGTTCAAGGGGCCAAGAGGGCTTTTCTGGGCTGTTCAGATCATTACACACGGTGCAGGCGCCTTATGCTCTTTGGTCTCCTGCCCAAGAGGTTGAAAGCATAGAAACCAACATCAGAAACATCTCAGCAGAATAAGGCTTTCTCAGGGTCAGGTTCTAAAGTCAATGTGAAAAGCAAAAATTGAGGCAAGTCAGGATACCTGCAGACCATTCCTTGAGCAGTGGCTGAAGCAGCCAGCTTGACATACAGCCCACAATATATCATTTGTACACTAGAATCCCCCCAGAAGGGTGAGGTGTGCAACTGTGGCCCATATCCCCACTCTAAGCACGTGTTTACCAAGTGGCAGGCCCCATGGGATTGTTAGCAGTTTCTTCCTTTTGCTGAACTGAGTCAGGCAGATACGTCTATGACTGCATCACTTGGAAGACTTGTACCACTTGTCTTTAGTGTACCCTCCACAGGTTTCTTGGGGGTCCCTACATGTTTGTTTTAATCCTGTGTGAGTGTGATCCCCACCAAGGCTTAAGTGGGTGGAGTGGAGGCCTAGTCCCAAATGAGGTTCCCATCTGTGGTGGGATGAAGATGAGCCCTGAGCACTCAGCTTCCACACTTCCTCTTCTGAGAAAAGGCTTACCTCTTCCTTCAGGAAAATCAAGATTTGAAAGCTTCCTAGTTTCAAGGGAGAAAGTTGTGGCTAAACTCAACCTGCCTAGCAAAGGCAAGGGGTAAGCCATGGTAGACAGCACTGAATATGACTTCCAACAGTCTCTGCCTCATGGCACTCAGTCTTGGTGTGATCCTTCTGGTATATGGGAAAGAACAAGTGACTCCCTCTATTGAACAGAACGCAACCCATAACTGGATGCCCCTGCAGAACTTAAGTTGTTGAAGACCGTGCCCTCCAGACTGTTATATACAGAAGCTCTTTCACACAAGATGCTGTGTGATGTGCTGCTCTGTGAAGAGATTCATTTGGCAAAACTGTGAGAACCTGACTCCTGCTAACACACAAGAGCTTGGGTGCAGGTCCTTCCTGACTCAAGCCTTGAGATAACCACAGCTCTGGCCAAGCACAGCAAATACAGCATGTGAGAGACCCTGAACCAGGGTGCCCAGCCAGACTGCTCCCCATCTTTGAGTCCTGTTTCCTCATGTGCACAGTGGGGATTAATGCTGCCTATCTTCACAGGGGTGTGTAAAGACTAAGGGAGACTGTGGGTAAGAGCACACTGGTGTCATGTTTGCCGACTGTCTTCTTTAGCCTAGGTAGGCTGCCCACCATGTGTGCTCTGCAGGTCAGGCACTCAAGTAGGCCTTGCCAAAACCACAAGGGACAAGCTGACTGTCCTCAGAAAGCAGCTCTCCATGACCAAATCTGATGGCGCCTTCCTCAGCTGCTGTGAAACTCCTAGGTGATCACTGGCAGGGCAGCAAAGAGAAGTGAGTACACCGTCATTATCTTCTGAACATTTTAATGCAAATATAGTGCTTATAGATCTTAGAATTTTGTAAAGAAAACAGCACCAGAGCAGAATAAGCCTTCACATTTTTTGTGGGATGAGTACAGTTATAAGCCCCCAAGAAATAGAAATTGCAGAAGCCAGGCATTGTGGCTCACACCTGTAATCCCCTACTTAGGAGGTTGAGGCAGGAGGATCACAGTGAGTTCCAGACCAGCCTGGGCCTCAGGCCCTGTCTCAAAAAACCCAAACTGAACAAATTAAAACAAGACAAAATCCAACAACTTGCAAAAAATATAGAAATTCTTGTAGAACTCCTTTGAACAGCTGATGTCTCAAAGTTCAGGATCTGCACTCTCCAAGAAACTCTATTCTCCAATGAAATGTAGAGAAGGCTCAGGCTTAGCTATCCATTAAATATCACATAACACAGTTTTCCCCGATTTCCTCTGCTCATGGCAGACACACACCTCAGATAAACTTGGGTGACTGCTTTTATATGACAAGCCTGTTGCAAAACTCAACTATCAAGAAAGGTTCAAAGAAACACTTGTCTGAGAAATGAGATTATAAGAGCCTGCGGATTTCTTTCTCAACTGTAAGGCTAACCTTTCATGTCTTATCAGAAATAAAGGGCATAGTATTTATCATAAGCTTGAACCACGAAGACAGAGCAGTGAGATAGGAAACCCAGTCGACAGTGGCAGTCTCAAATTAATAGCTTAGCTATGTTGTGTTGCAAACTGTGAAGGCCTTCTTCATTTTCTGGGTCTGGATTAAGTCACAATCCCAACATAAGTAACAGCGTGGAGAGATGGAAGCTATTCTGTCCCCTGAAAACCTCAGTATTAGCACCAGAACTGTTTTGCATGGTCCAAGAAGGCAGAACTTCAAATGTTACATTTTCGCTAGTCACCTTCAGCTTCTCTTCAAATTAAATGGAACCAAAAGGTCTAGGTGTTGGTGCACCCAGGACTTCTTACTGTGGCGACAAGAGTCCTAAAGAAGTCTCTCTGCAGGGAGTAATTGCACAGCTTAATTCTTCTAGACCGAACCACTTCAGATTTATGCCAATGGAAAGCAAACATTGTTTGTAAGTCATTTAATTGTGTTACTGTCTCTTGACTTTATCAGATGCTGCTGAGGCAGAGGCCTGTGTGCGGTCCTGAGGGAGGCTCTACAGTGTGCCTAGGCTTCTTCTAAATGCCCACAGACCAGAGTCTCTAACATGGCTTTTTCCAGATGTAAAAACAAACTACTAATTCAATGGGTTCAAATAGCATTTGTTTTAATCCAGGATCCACATTGAAGGCTGCATCTCCACCAAAGTGACAATCTTGACTGTAGAACCAGCAACTAGGTGCAAACCTATTTATTTGTCTTTGGTTAAATGTTATGTCTACACCCTGTCAGAGCATTATGAGAATCCAGACAAAGATCTCTGACGGAAAGACTGAAAACATTCTGTTTTGAAGACTGAATTTACACTGTATGTGTACTATTATAAATTCTTATTAGGTCAGACATAAAAATGTAGGGCTTTTGTTGCTTGTTTTGAAAAATACATTCTTCTGGGCTGGCCAGTATCAGGCTGGGACAGACTGCCAAGAGTCTCTTGACAAACGCTGCTTGGCACACGCTCAGGACTCAGGTCAGCTCATCATGTCCAGGCTGCTTAGCTCAGTGTGGCCATCACTGCGCAGGGCCTCTGCTACATCCCTTCTGAAGACAGAGAGGTTCTGGGTGAACCTGCGGAAAGAGGAAGCAGCTCATTTGCAGCCTATGCGAACCTCTGGATGAAAGGCCGCTGTGGATTCAGGACCCTGGAGAGGACCCCCCTGAAGGAAGGCTCCAGGGTGCTGTGCATCCCTTCCACCCCCAGTTCTGCTTCCAGCACCGCCCTCCTCATCTCTTCAGGAAAACAAGACTCACCACCAGATCCACTCTGAATGTTTGGGGGTTGGGGGGGTGGAATTTGAAGTTCTACTATTTAAAACATTAAAAAAATTATTTATTATTTGTGTGTGGGGGCATGCAATGTACAGCGTGTGTGTAGAGGTCAGACGATAACTTTGTGAAGTTGGTTCTCTCCTTCCATTTTTACATGGGATCAAACTGAGATCATCAGGCTTGGTGGCAAGTGTTCTTACCTGCTGAGCCATCTCACTGACCTCTAAAACGTTTTTTTTTTTTTGTTTTTTTTTTCGGAGCTGAGGACTGAACCCAGGGCTTTGTGCTTGCTAGACAAGTGCTCTACCACTGAGCTAAATCCCCAACCCCTAAAACATATTTTAAAAAGTCAAATTACGGGGCTGGAGAGATGGCTCAGTGGTTAAGAACACTGGTTGTTCTTGCAGAAGCCCCGGGTTTGAATCCCAGCACCCACATGAAAGCTAATAACTGTCCGTAACTCCAGTTCCAGGGGATCTGACAGCCTCTTCTGTCCTCTGAGGGCACTGCACAACATGGGTGCACTTATCTACATGCAGGCAATACACGCATACACATAAAATAAAATATTTTAAAAAGTCAAATTACACATAAGTGGCAAAAATAAAAAAGAACTAGTTTGTGTTCCAAACACTGGATTGAGTTACATATGGCTAACTAGTTTAATCATTACAAGTCCCAAGTATTCTCAACTGAAACTGAATCTGGTGATTGAAAAACAGGGGGCAGTGAGACGTGGTGGCTCATGGCTTATTCCAGCACTTAGGAGGCTGTGAGGAAGATTGTGAGTTTAAGGCCAACCCACACTATGTATGTAACCATATCTTACAGGAGTTGGAGGTCAGCCTAGTCTAGTCTAGTGAGTCCCAGGCAAGCAAGGGCTACAGAGACCTGGTAAAAACCTACATATAAAACCACCTTCAACCCCAGGCACAGGGAATCCAATACCCTCTTTTTGCCTTTACAGGCACTACACACCTGTGACATATCTTCACACACACACACACGCACACACACACACACACACACACACACACACACACACACACGGGAGTGCCCTGTGGATGTAGCTTAGTTGGTAGAGTACTTGCCTAGTATGCATGATCCCTAGTACCATAGAAACTGAGTGTGGTACCCATAATACCAGCATCTGGGAGGTACAGTCAAGTTTAAAATTATGCTTGGAGGATAGTGAGATGGGTTAAGGGACTTGTTGGCAAGTGTGGCAATCTGACTAAATATGATCTGAGACCCACATGGTAGAAGGAGAGAAGAACCGACTCCTGTCAAGTTGTCCTAAACAAAGACACACACACACACACACACACACACAATGTACTGATAGTAATAAAAGTTATCCTTGGCTACATAGTGAATTCAAAATCAGCCTGGGCTACATGAGACTCTTAAAAATAAAAGAAAGAAAAACAAAAAGAAAGAGGGGAAGGGCATTGAGTTAGGCCACTTGGGATCAAACTTTGGCTCTGCCGCTATTGGCTAGGCAGCTGGGATGAATAGTTAACTTCTTGTCTTGATACCTAATATGAGTAACTATCTTAAGGGAATGTGGGAATGAAACTTATCGAGTCAAGAGAGGATGCCTGAAAGCACTCTATACAGTGCCAAGCACAAGGAAAACAGTCAGTCCTTGCAGGTTCTTACTCCATGAAACTAGAAGGGGTGCCGAGACCATTTCACTGAGCAGCTCAGGAATGCTACTCAAGTTTCCTGGGGTTTCCCTGCGCATCACATCTTCTTCCAGCGTTTAAGGTTGTCTCTTTTTGCCTGAGAGAAGATTTGAGTGAAATGAACAGTCAAGGGAATGTGTCTGTACACCCAGACGGCCTGGCTTCGTGTTACCACAGCTCAGGCTGGTAACTCTGGGCTACACTGCAGACTGGGCGACTGACAGTGTGTACTATAAATGGTGGAGTGTTTGAATTCTACTGCACTGATGAAGATCAGTTTCCCCCTGAACACATTTTCTTCCTATATCATTGATTACTATCTGTATCCTCCACTAAGATGTAAGTTCACAGGGCAGGAACTGAGAACAGTTTGCTTACTGAAGGTTCTTAACGCCTGCACACAGTAGAACCTCAGTCAGGTTTTACAAACTAAATGAATGAATGAATTCAGTCCTAGTAATGAGTTTGGATCCTCTTTGTTAGATCTCACAGGTCAATGCTGCCAGCCACTCTTAAAGGACAGGCAGAGGAAGAAATGAGTACATAACAGGTTACCTACCCATGTATCCTGCTTTACTGCATCCTGCTATTTAAACATCATAATCAATTTGATCACCGACTCCATTTTACTGCTGAAGAAACCCAGTAGAGAAGTTAACTGCTTTTCTGTCATACAGCACACAGAGGCAGGGATAAAATTTAATTGGGGTCTGTCTGCCCTCAAGGCCTGTGCTTGTTCAAATGCCAGGAAGCCTTTCCTCATCTCCATGGCTGATGTGAGTTTTTCTTCTTTTGATCTTTCCAATTACAGTAATTTTTCACCTCCCTCCAGTTGGATTATAAACTGCTTAAGGGCAAAGGGTGTAGTTTATTAATCTCTGTATCCCTGTATAGTGCCTAGCCAGCATTTTGCAAATACCAAGTACAGTGTAATGACTGGTACAACTGAAAAGTTACATCCATCTGTGGGCTATGCTAAGCAGAGTCCAATTATTCCTGACAAACCCGAAATGAGATGCCTACTGGGCAATGCTCACCGGTCTCTGTTCTTGATAGACAGGTTCTGCTCCACTCCTTCCATCAAATTCCTGAAGCACTGGGCCAGGACCTCCTGCTTGGGGAGAGGCTGGCTGTTTATCAGACTTGCTCTCACTTCACCGAAATACTGTGGGGAGACAGAACAGTGTCAGAGCTCAGGTTCCAACTCCAAGCCTGGCATGAAGAAAGCAGTGGGAAGGCCTGGCCAGCTTGGGTCTACTCAGGGCTCAGCAGGGTCTACATCCAGTTCCACACTGAACTTTCTACCCTTACAGAAAGCCTAGGACACAGACCATTCCTAGTGTAAGTGGTGCTTCCTCTTCTCATAAAAGAATCTCATGCTGTGATCTACTGTCACTACTGAGCTGGGTGGAGCCCTTGCCTCCTGTGGGGGACTGAACCCACGCTCTTCCAGTCTCAACTCTGCTTGTCACCAGAAGGCTGAAAGAAAGGCCCCCAGGCTGAGGGAAGAACTTAAAATGCCCAGGGAGCACTTTGGGTAACCCAAGACAAGGCCAAGGGGCTCCCCTCAAGCCTCGTCATCTTTTCTGGCTTCAGTGAACACTTCTCAAGAAGCTCTGGGCTCCGTTCCAGGTCTCTGTCCTTGTGGGTTAGATGGGTCTGCTCTGCTGGGGCAGGGCACTATAGGGGCCTGCTCAGTTCTGGGAGAGTTGGCTGGCACTAAGAATAGTATCTGTCATACCTGGTCACAACTGCTCAACCTCCTTTTTTTTTCCTGCTGGGGTCTGTGGCCTTTTATACAAATATAAGTTTTGAAGTTGAGTAAAACCCCTAATCACCCAAAACAGTCTAATTTCATCAAAAAACCCAACATTTTGCTAGTCATGTGTTCATCTCTTCAAGCCCAAGCTGCATATTTAATTTCCATCATACATTAAAACAGCTCACATCAAAAAACACACATAATTAATATGTAGTCAGACTAACACTTAAATACTATATATCAGAGGCATTATACTTAAACCACAATGTCTTCCTGAACAAGATTGGGAATGCACAAAACTACTTATTTTTCCCTTTTATAATGATGCAGTGACTCACACCAAATAGAAAATTATTAGTTTTTCATCCTAAACCATGAAATATTGCCTCCATCAGTAAAGTATAATATTGTGATGTCATAAGCTTTTTCTAAACACTGAATTTGCCCTTATTCCCTCTCAATCATTTTAAAAGAACTGCTCTCTTTTATAGAGCCTGGATTTAAATCACAATAACACCAAGGGAAGATGAATGGCAGTGCTATTGAATGTGGCTAAAATTGGATACTTCAGCACAGGTGAGTGATGAGACAGCTCTTCTCTTTTTGATATATTTTCTTCTTCTATTAGTTTCTTTCCATGGCTGGGATTTTAGTTTGAATTTTAATGTATGCGGCTGCCTCTAATCTCACTGTCTTTTTCCCAGTACTATCTTATTGTATAGACAATTCATTCTCCCAAGAAGTAATGCACTGTTCCTACTGACTGCTGGGGGGCCAGGGAGGATTCCGGAGGAAGCCAGAGGCTTGGGAGGCAGCCCAGGGTAGCCAGTCCACTGAGGAGGCTGGAGATGCATGCTCCCCAGATGAAGGGCACTGTCTATGGCAAATCCCTCAAGGGCTGCTGCCCCCACTTTCTGTGATTGTGAAGGGTCCCCAAATATAAAAGGAGGCCATGGGAGGAAACAAAAGGGCTATTGCTCAAAATTCCTCTGGAATAGTGAGGGTGACCTTGAAATACTGCCAAGCAAGCCGCACACAGTGCGGTATGTGGGGACTTTGGCCTCTGCCTGCTGAAGCTCTAGAGCCTTTAAGGAAAGGCCTTCTGGGGAAGATGGCCTTGCCATAGGATGTCAAAGTCTTAACTCTGTGGTCTAATGTTCTACTCCCTGGTCTTCAGTGCCACGGTGCTTCCCTCTCTCTCCTCCTGTGAACCTTCCTGAAACCACTCACCTTCTCATTGAGCAAGATGAGCCCCAGTAGAGGCCTGGATACAGACCATTGGTTCCGACAGTCTTCAAAGATAATGGTGCTCATGAGGACTGACGTCATCTAGAAGACAGATTCACATGAAGATTGGGACCCCCTGCTCAGAGCTCATCTGAATTCCAGGCTTTCTATGTGCTCACCTTCTACCCCTCCATCTTGATGATGGTACAAAGGGCTCTTCCTGAACCAATACTTTTCACTGTGGACACCCATAAAGCTGTTTGTATACTCTTGCAGACCCCCAGTTCCCTGAAGAAGAGCCTACACCATAAAAAGCTTGGTGAGAACCTTTTAGTCAGGCCACAGAGCCAAGAGCCTGAGCTTCTGTCTTTCAGGCCTCCTGCTCTCCTCTGTATTAGGTACCATGCAAAGGTCCGGCCCATGTCCTGTACATTCATCTCACCAAACAGTCATGAAGGGGCAACATCTCTCCATAGCTCCTCTCAGAGACAGGAATAGAAAAGGCTGCATATGAACCTTGGAATGTCATGTTTCCTGCTAGCCCAGACTGTTGTTTTTCAAAAATCAGGCACTCATTCCTACATGTACACACTCATCCATTCTCTTAATCTTCACACAGGGAAGATAAGAGAACACAAGCATCTACCACAACCTCTGTGTCTAAGGACCTGCAGCCTCCTAGGGAAAGCCACCAAGAGAAGTAGAAGGAAACAGGTGAAGGAACAGTGGTCAGAGACTCCACAGAGGAGGCAATGTTTAAGGAGTCCATTATAATCAGAAAGAAAAGCAAAGAGGAGGGTAGGAATGGACACAACGGATTCTGCAATGGTAAGGAACTCAGTGTGGCAGGGAAGGGAAGTGAGACCTCCAGCACCAGGCTAGAAGATCACACTGAGGAATCTGGACTTCATCCTGAAGGCAAGGGAGCTAGTGATGGGCTTAGGGACAAGGTGAGATATATGCAATGTGCCTTCTATATGTGAGATAACGGGAGGGAGGCCAGGGTGGGGCTGCTGCAATAGTCCTGGCCAATGGCTATGAAGTGGGTTTAGTTGTTAAGTGGAGCAAATGATGCAGTTGCTCTTCTCCCACTGCAGCCTGTCTGCTCCCACAGCTCCAGAGCTCTTGTGCTCAAAGGACAATTATGTGGCAAAGACCACTACAACACCTCCCCAATTGGGCTTTGGTGACTCTGCTTGCTTTGAACACATTTGGTGTTATCTTTTGGCATAAAACCTTTTTGTATGTGTGCATATGTGTGTGTACCAGCATTTACATGTGCATAGGGCAGAGTTTGAAGTTAGGTGTCTTCCTCAGTTACGCTCCACTCTATTTTCAGAGTATGGTCTCTGGTGAAGCAGAGCTTGCCAATTCTGCCAGTCTAGTTCAGCAGCTTGCCCCAGGGATTGCTGTCTCTGCTTTCTGAACACTAGGATTACAGGTGGGCCACCACACTCATCCCACGTTTACACATTTATTCAAGTCCTAGGGATCTAAACTCTAGGCCTTACACTTGCATGGCAGGCACTTTATCCATGGAGCAGCCCTTTGAAAAAGTTTTGGCAATCTATTTTATCCTGTGATCTCTGGCAAGTGACTAAATCTCTCTCATTTTGTCGGTTTCACTAACTCTTAAGAGGGAAATAATAATCCACCACAAGGCAGCTCTAAGAATCAAGTGAGACGGTGTATAAAAAGTGTTGTGATGAGTAAATTCTAGACATTGAAGGCACATCACAACAGCAGTAACAAGCAGTTCTGCAGCTCTAAACATCTGCCATTCTCTCCATCACCACTGCGATGATTAGGCTGGTTACAAATGAAAACTGTCAATTTCGTATTTGTTGCATGTCCAGTCTCTCTGAAGAGAGGCTAGGTCTTATGCCTGGTATGTTGATCATCACATCATCTGCAGATCACATGTTCCCATGTACAATCTAATGAGACACCCAAAGTCATAGCACCACAAATTAAATTGACAAGCAGAACTAACAGATCCATGGAGACAGTCTAAAATATTATGGGCTTCACAATCTGAGGCAGAATGGATATTTTAATGGAGAAGATTAAAGTTAGAGGCACCGAATTCTTCCAGTAACTGACAAAGCACCCTGAAGTGATGTGCCAATTACTTTATACGGTTCTCCTGTGTATTCATTTGTCTGAATGCATGTATTTATGTCTGTAATAAGTAAGGGGATGTTTGAATAAAATACTTTTCTAAAAATAAAGTTGGCTAAAATGGATGATTTTTTTTTCATTTTTTTAACTTTCCTGGAAATATGCAGAGTACTGAGTAATCTTCTTTAATGGCATTGATGTGGCAGCCAATTTCCAGAATTATTTTTTTCTAATAATTTTAGAGTAGGGTAAAATAGCCTAACCAGTGGGAATATTTCTTTGGAATCCTCCACCATAGAGGAACACCAGGTGCAATGCTAAAGTACACAGTCCCTTTCCCTTTGTAGATCTAGGCAGGTGGTCTCTGTGGTCAAGGACCAGTAAGATAACTCTTGGCTCTCTCTGTACCCACCTAACCCATATTCTGTCACCATGAGCCTTCAGTATTGGGTATAGCGGTGCTATATGAGCTGGGTATCTAGTCCCTCAACGTCCACTCACTTCCAACACTGCTACAGGGATGGTTCAAATTTGCTTTGTCAACAAATTTTCCAGGGTCTACACCCCAAACCATGCATTTATTTACTAACATCATCCTAAGTGGCTGTTTTGCCAAAGCAGTGATGGGATGATCTAGAAAGGGAAGTTGTGTGATTTGGTCTACTTAGAAAATCATACTCTACACTACTTTCATTGGCTCCCAATTCTTCTTCCTCCTTACAGGCTTTGGCAGGAATTTTGTTCAATGAAGAGAAACCAACACAATGAGGTAGACACAGGCGTTAGACTCAGAATTGAGCCCACATCGGGCCTTGCCATTTATCCTCTGGCACTAGGCAAGTCTTTGAACCCTTTATATCTTCAGATACAAAGTAGGGCACTCTAACAATTGATGTGAAAGGGATGCTGTGAGAAAGGTTGTCTTCTCTCTATATCAAACATTTTAGACTGGGCTTACCACATAGTAGGCCTTCAATATAATGTTTCCTTGCTGCAACTCTGGTTACCCCTCTGGCCCAACCCAAAGGAATTTTATGGTTCAAGGAAGTATACCGACTCATGTCTTGATTAGACAGATGAAAAAGATTATGGTCTCCTCCTAATTATCTAATTTCATTGAGAGTTTCAGTCCAAGAAATAGTATCAAGTAGGAGCCAGCCCAGAACGCATCCCTACTTGCTTTGCTATCAGTATTAGTGCAGATTTTGAATGACAGTGATTCTGTCGTAATCCTCTAAATAGAACATAAAATTACAAATATGTGACCTGGAAAAATAGAACAGTGATGTCACGTGACCCCCAGCTCCTGCTCGCCAGCTCTGCCGCGGAGTGTGAAGCACAAGCAGAGTACAGCAGGGTTCTCTGTCCAAGGCTTCTGGCCATACGTTCTTTACAGCAGGGCAGTGGCTAAATAAACACTCTCACTTCAGATGTTTCCTGCTCTATCTTTGGCTGAAGTAAAATAAGCAAAGTTATGGTTTATACTGGGCACTCTACTGTTAAGGCAGTGAATATATACTTTAATGTATCAAGAGCCAAACTACAAAGAGCTGAGAAGCTGCAAGGGCATTATACAGAAAGGCGAAGCTATGGCTTTAATCTACGGCTAAACTTGAAATGGGTAACTGGCTAAACTAATGGACTGTTCATTTTCAACGATCCTGTTTCTGTGAACAGATCCTGAGAACCTTTCTAACCCAGCAGCTTCCAGGAGGGACGGTGGCTGGGTGCTTTCAGATTACAAAGGCCAAAGTCTGAGGCACTATCATTTTCAATAACAAGAACCTGTACCTAACAGTAAACTGTGATTGACTGTCTCACCATCTAACAAAAATAGCTCTCATTTATGAAGGTCTGCTGGGTGCGCAGCACTTACTAGGTGCTTATATGCATTGTCTCTAATTCTCAACTAATCTTGGGAAGAGAACATTTCTCATTTTTATAGACTTTGAGGTTCTGAAATAATAACTTGTTTGAGGATGTAAAGGCTGATGCAGTCATGTACCTGGTCTGCCTGAGTTCATCATGCCAGCCTGTGCTTACCTCCCTCAGGCACTGTGAGTGGCAGGACAGCTGGTCCCTACTGTAGACCTCTGGAGGACTGATGGTGTGAGAAAAGGCTCATTATTCCACCTTTTGGGGCCTCCTGGATCTGTCACCCCATTGTCTCCTCTCTGCAGCCACTCTGCCACTGCCTGGATTAGTCATGTAGCTGCTGAAATGCTTGTGATTAGAATCCAGGGCCACGTTCCTGAAGAGTTCTCAGCAAACCTATCTGCTTCACACAAAGTGCTTTCAAGTTTAGCTAACATACTTTCAGATTCTTAAGGTGAAAGAACAAACTTAACAGACTATCTTTGGAAATTCGTTCATTGAATAGTTTCATAAAAAGTAATGATTTTTCTCCAAGATTACCACATACATAGCAATTTAAATTAACACCATAAAAATCAGTAAATTGGGGCTGGAGAGATGGCTCAGCGGTTAAGAGCACTGACTGCTCTTGCAGAGGACCCAGGTTCGATTCTCAGCACCTACATGGCGGCTATGAACGGTCCTTAACTCCAGTTCCAGGGGAATCTGAAGCCCTCTCTGACTTCCGTATGGCATTGCATGACATGAGTGCACTCACATACATGCAGGCAATACACACATGCACATAAAATAAAAATAATAAAGTATTAAAAAAATCAATAAATTAAGCTAATTTTCCCTGGGTTACAATGCTTTCTGTAAAGTGAATTACTCCATTGTTAGAGTTTAGGCATACTGAATACTGTAAAATATATTCCATAAAGCTGTAAGAAATAAGTGAAACTTAAAACTCCTGTCTTGCTCCCCATTTGTATCACAGTGGCAAACCCAAGCCTGAGATGATGTCATGAACCCTGATCCTACAGGGATCAGATTCTCAACATATTCAGAGTTCTAGCTCTTGCCCCCACAGCTCCTTGCTAGGTTCATTTTTGTGATACTGTAGT